AACACCCCCATAGTGAGGGGGGGATTTGGTAGAAATTCCATCTTTATCCTTCCAAAATTATCTCGTTGTGCATGTATTAACATATCACTTATTTATTTTTATACAGAGCTGGACTGTGTTTTCTAAACGTGAGGCTTGTACTACCATTAAAAGCAGTTGCTATCATACGATTTTTAGGTTTTCACAAGTAGTGGGATAGTATTCATTGTGTCTATTTCTGTGTTGATGCAATTCAGCAGGTAGAAAGGAGACCCAGCACCATATGACTAGCCAGCTATCCACAGACCACCAGCAAATACTTCACAGGCTTACAGTGGTCTGTTCAAAGAGTGTGGTGGGTGCTAGGAGGCAAGACTCCTAGGTTCAGTTCCCAGCTCTGTAGCAGATCTGCGTGACTGTTGGCAAATCATTTAAAATGTTGCTGTGCCATCTCTTACAGAGCAGAAATTTTTCTTATGCAAGTCCTTGCTCCAGTTCTCATGAGTCCTTCATCTGCATAGTACTTGTACTTGTTCTTACTTATATGCTCCTATGATCAAATTAGGCTCATGCAAAAGTATTTACAGAAACATGGCCATGGTTTTAATTGGAAGTATTCTAATAACATATTTTTTAATTTGCTAGTTAAGGTTCTCTTCTGTTTGGTGCAGGGGCTGGTGGAGCCTTTTTCTAAATGAGAAAATTCCTTTCACCTATGCCTGTCAGTTGAATATGTGTTGATATATGGTGTACCCTCCACTCTTTCTCAAACTAAATAAATATATGTATGCACCATTTTATGTGCAAAGCAGTCACTAGATCATGTTTTTTATATTTACGTATACTTTTATATTTACATGTATCTTATCTAATGTATATATATTTTTTTCTTTAGGATTTAAAAAAGTATCATTTCTATTACTGGTTTTGCTACCCTGCACTCTGCTTCACAGATGGGATACCAGTTGTGCAACAGCCAGTTCCTTTGGGGGAAAGGTTCTCTCCAAGTCAGGTACTCAAAAGACCAACTGTAAAAATCTTTTATTACTGTTCATTCTTATTGTCTCATACCAAATGCTTTGACTTCTGAACTTTGTATTCACACTAACAGGAACAAGTAATGCAGTACACTAAGCTGAAGCGATGGAATGCATGTCTTGAAGGGGATGAATGGGTAGATTCCTTTTGCACAGAAGGTTAACCAAACACAGGGTTGCTAACCTTTTTAAAAGGTAGTGTCTGGGAGGCTGAGGTCACTAGCCAGATGCAAAAGTAGTGAATTAAGGCCAGGACAATTTTGAGAGAAATTTAACCCACTCTCAGTCCTTTTGTATGTCTTGATTGTTATCAATCACGTTATAGATTTAATAGATTTTCAGGGACGGAAGGAACCTCAGCAGATCATCAGGTCCGACCCCCTGCCCTGGGCAGGAAAGAGTGCTGGGGTTAGATGACCCCAGCCAGGTGTTTGTGCAGGCTCTTCTTAAAGACCCCCCAAGGTAGGGGAGAGCACCACCTCTCTTGGAAGTCCATTCCAGATTCTGGTAACCTTTACCATAAAGAAGTTCTTCCTAATGTCTAGTCTAAATTTGCTCTCTGTCAGTTTGTGGCCATTGTTGCTAGTTACTCCAAGGGGTGCCTTGCTAAATGGAGCATCTCCTAATCCTTGCTGCCCCCCGCCCCCCCCAACAAACTTGTAGATGGCCACCAAATCCCCTGTCAGCCTTCTCTTACAGAGGCTGAAGAGATCTAGGTCCCTCAGTCTCTCCTCATAGGACCTATCGTGCAGGCCTCTAATCTACGCGTAAATCATGTGTTATCATGTCGTGGTAGTTGGTGCTTCTTGTTTTTTCTTTTGTAAAGTACCAACTTTACTTGAATCCAAGACAGCTTTGAATTTAAGATGATCCTCCCAATAATTAGATGTATATTTTTTTTTATGTATAGCATTTGTTATCATTTTTCACATATAGAATCTAATTATTGGGGAGTTGTGTTAAATTTGTTCCCCGCCACGCTGCTGTGGCAGAAAAAGCAGTGGGATGGGGCTAGACCGAGGCGGGCAATTATTTTGGGTGGAGGGTCACATACAAGGTTTTGGCAAGCCATCGAGGGCTGCATGACAGGCAGCCAGGGGCAGATAAATATTCATTTTCTAAATTTTTTAGGGGCCCTGTGGGCCGGATAGAATGGGCTGGCAGGCTGCAGTTTGCCCACCCCTGGGCTAGACGCTTACCCTCTTTGCCTACCCCCTTGCTCCTCCCTGCAGCCTATCTTCCCTTCCCCGCCTTTACCTTCTCCTGCAGCTTTGCTGCTCTGCAGCTGTCAGCAGTGTGTCCCTGGCCTGACTGGTGCTCCATATAACCTCCCTTTTTATCTCACCTGCCACACCTTGATATTCTTCTGACCTCAAATGGGAGGCTACCCCTGAATAGGGGCAGCAGGGTAGGAGCAAGGGAGCCACTGCTTTTCCTGCTATAGCAGCATGGGATAAACAAATTTAACACCCTACCCCATCTCCCAATAATTAAATTGTATATGAGGGCAGAGGGCTCTCAGTGGTGTTTGGCTGACTTCAGTTGCTTTCTGGTACCCTAATCAAGCAATGGGGGCTTTTAATTGAGGCCTCCAGCCTCTTCCATAGCAACACTCCTGCCTCATGAGTGTCGCTCTGTTGTCCTTCATGCTCCTGTACAGGCGTCAGCCCTCTTGGCCTTGGCCTGCAGGTTAGTCTGCCTGTAGACCTGTAGCCTGGGCCCACTTGCTCTGGCTCAGTTTATTAGCCTCAGTCTCTGTCTAGCTTGGAGTTCAGGCTCTGGCCCTTTCAGTTGCAGCCTGTCCCAGGCTCTCTCTTTCCTTCTCTCTCACCCTGCCCCTGGCAGAGCTAACAAAAAATAGAAAAACACCTGGAATGCCCCTCAGCCATCCCTTTGTGGCCTCTTTCCTCCTCTATAGCCAGAACCTGGTACTCCAGTTGTTACTATGCTTTCCGCACTGCTGCCTTTGCCCTGGGGGCCCATACTGGCCACACGTCCCCTGCTCACCCAACAGCGGGAGATGCAACTTGCTGCCCCAGCTGTTGCTGGGCAGGCAGAGGCACATAGCCAGCACAAGGCTCTTGAGGGAAAGGCAGCAGGGCGGAGAGCCCCAAGCTCACACCGAGCAGCCTGCATCTGCCCCACACACAAATCTGGGGGGGGAAGGGGTGGTGGCATATGCCTCCCATACTTCTCCCCAGGGGTGTGTGCACAGCAGTGGGGAGCTGCTCCCCTCATGTCCCCTGTATGAGCTGCCCGTGGCTCTGTCCCACTCCCTGCCCTGGGTCACACTTACTGCCCTAGCTGTTCAGTGCCCCTGCCCCTGTTTCTGCCCCTGCCCCACTCCCTCACCATGGGGGCCTCGATCTGCCCTGCCGTACCTCACCCCCTCCACAGACTTACTTACAAGGAGTTGCTCTCCATGCTGCCCAGCTGAATTCCT